TAATATGTCTTATACCTAGACTGACATACTGTCTCCGCTCAGAATCGTTTTTCTTATACAATGATATTATATCGTTGAATTCAAATTTAATATCATCCATTATACAGTGACCCACTTGTAACCTACTGTACAGCAGAGCGACACCCACTTGCCCACCTTTTTTTTATTTAATCTGAATAGCGTATTTATTTATTTAAGATACTGGTGTGGTTATAATAATATTGATATAGTTTCTTGTTTTTTTTTTAAGTTATTTAAAATTGTTACCTTTATATTCAATTTTTAGTATTTAGTAATATTGTTATTGAAATAGTAATAGCAACCTGGTGAATATTTAAATTTTCTAAGGTTATTCCTTTTGAATTAGGTAGGCACATAAAAAAAATAAAATCGATTCTGTCGGATAATGGTGTTGCGTAAATATTTACGTTTTCCCGCTGTTTTTTCTTCAGATTATTTTAAAATTTACTTTTTCTACTTTTTAACCCTCGAAGTAGATTCAATTTGCAACCAGAATCCACCCTCAAAATTGAAGAATAAGATTTTTTCTGCTCCAATGCGTGTGATAACCGGCATAAATATAAATTTAAACATTTTAATAAAAATTCACACATAATAAACTCGGCTCAGAATCTAAAATAAATAATAATAACCATAATAAAAAAGTTATTACCTATATTAAAGATAATTGTGTATAAAATAATATCTATAGTACATTTGGAAAAACATTACACAGAAGCACTTTGTACTTTTTTTCATAAAAATATATTATGTTGTTTTATTGTGAAATTAAAACAAAGCTCAGTATTGTAATATTAAATTATTATCAACCCCTAACGAATGTACGTCATCAATCATAACAATGAACCGTGTCAAGTGATTTTACTTCCTATCTGTATATTTTATTATATATTATCTTACCTAACATAAATATATGATATTTTGGAACTACTATATTTTTTTTTTTGTTCAGAAATTGTATGATAAAATATAAAACCTATTATACCAATACATTTTACGAAAAAAATTATTAATAATTTGGTCAAGATCAACAATATTATAGGACCTACCTATTATGTACCTATTATGAATTTAAAGAATTTAAAGTTGATATGGTACCTGAAAAATTCCGTTCACTCAATGAAATCAATACATTTTTCCTCCAAGAGTTTACTTTATTGATAGACAAAAACACTTTGAATAACAATAATTATTATTGACAATTATATTAATTGAATGAGGTCAATTGTCATAAAAGTTTCACAATGCATATTATTGTAATTTCTATCAAAACGAAATTTATTTTAAACATAAATATTTTTTTACATTGAACAAAACGTTTCAACGGCAACGGTTATTAGCGTACCGTTATTTGACTAAAAATAAAAAAAAAATATTTGTCATCTATTTAATTTTAGTCACGATTTCTTATGAATATTTTTGAGCTTATTAACAATATGCACAGGCAGTGGGGACATGGAAGTGTCCGTTGGTTGGGGCCCAAGATAACCGCATAATGCCTACCTACGTCCAACATATTATTATAATAAGCATCTAATGTTTTTGTACAATGCGATACGTATATAATATATGATTCGGTTACGAATTCAATCCCCAGCCGTGTTATTATAATAATATGTTTTAATGGCAGTTTATATTATGTTGATGCCTGACTAAGTTTCTAAGTTCAATATTGGCGATATATTATTATCACGAGCTATTCCTGCGCGTGCCAATCGCGTGTTTGCGAATTAAACAGGTCATCGGTGTGTGTGTGTGTGTGTGTGTGTGTGTGTGTGTGTGTGTGTGTCCTACACCGCGAGTATGAGAGCCACTGCAACCGATATACAATTTTGTTAAAAAAGAGAAAGAAAATAACATTCTTCTATGACTCCGGATGTCCAAATAGTTTTTGTGATTGTATATTGTTATGATGTTTACGAATAATGTATTTCGAATGTATTTCTTAACGTTTTGGATATTATTATGAAATGTATTCACTCGATGGTTTCACCTTATATTTTACCCGGAACAAACTTATAATTGTACATCCGACTTTAAAGAGATATAGTTAAATAGACAAGTTCTATAATCTGCATTGTCCATCCTAAAACTGCTGAATACAAAATTTAATAATTTTTTTTTTGAATTAACTGAACCACGTTTACTAAGTGTTACGATAATTTGTTTTTATTTTTATATCACTTTTTGGTTCAAATATTAAACAACTAAAGAACAACTTTATCTTACAACAGTTTATACCTACAAAAGTTAAGGTAGGTAGTTAACGCGATATTAAAATATTATAACCATGAGTTTAAACACGTGTCGTACATAATACAAAACGTAGTTCCACTAGTTCCAGTCGTAATTAAATTTAATTGTTCAACATTTATTTGCCACGTTGTGATAATAAATTCATATTACCTGCACTGTAATCAGTAACATATTATATAATTATGAAAAGACATTTGAATAAATGTTTTGAAAATAATAAAGTAATAGAACCAACGGGTCACGTTGATACTTTTTTCTTGTTGATCCTTTAATCACTGGAATGTAATAAAAATGTGTTAAATATCACACGAGCATCACCTTTATTCAATTAGAACACCAGATTAAAACGAAAACACATACTGCTTGGTTATTACCGAACAAGTTTAATTTCAATTTGATCCTATTATGTTTCAGTTTATTTAACATTTAATGCTCTATTAACAATGTAATACTCTTTTAAACGTGTTTTATTCCTAAAAACAGTCACATAACTACATAAAAGTTACAAGCATCATGTTACAAATAGTTACAACAAAATTAACTAATTTGTAATAATTATAAACATTAAAGTCTGGCGTTCCAGTAGGTACACACAGTGGCAGCACATAATTTGGTAATGGTTTAAAAATAAATAGAAACACTAGTTTTACATAATATTTATTATTGACGAGATTGCCAGTATATATTATTTATCAACGAGCACGTCATTCCAAAATTAGTACTCGCATTTGGTTTCATCGTTGGTATAATAATAATAAATATATTTTAATCAAATATAAAATGCATTACTTATTAGTTATTTGTGAATATCAAATGAAGAACCTCGACGATCATCGTCCTACACACATTTCGACGAAATTCAAAATTAACGAAAAGTTAAATAACACTGCACAACGGAGTCACTCAAGGAGTAACGTTTTTAGGGGGAAAAATACGATACACCGAAATGTATAATGATATTCAATTCCACGTCATTTACTAATTATTATGACATTAAAATCTCGAGTCGAGTTAAACTTGACGGTGAACAACAACGCAGCACAATCATCGTGGGCCGAATAAAGAATGTTGTACATTTTTCACTTCTAACTAACAGTTGTGCGTTCGTTTGGTTTTCTCAAGTTTCGTTTCAGAAACAATATATTTGCTGAATATTAAATCATTTAAAAATGTCAACGATTTCGAAAGATTTCCCTGAGCTTTCCAATTGTGCCGTAGTTCAGAGTTGTTGTAGAAAATACAATGAAATTAGACACATGTACGTCTGCAGGGCAACTCGTCTGAATTCGTTCGCTCCGTCCTACGAGTACCGTGAAAATGGCATTAAATATTCACACGAAAACATTTCAAAACCTATCCAATTCTGTCAAGTTTACTTTATTGGGTCAATTTTCTCAAATTGACTATTCCTTTCTCCCAACTCAAAATCACATTCAAGCTACACGCTGGCAGGTCGGAGAACACTTTATTTGATAAAAACCTTTAGGTACCTGGTACATAGACATGATGCGCATGACGGACGATAAAACTTTTATAATAATATGAGTTTTACTATACTACTGTTCTATACGATCGGGGAATTAAAAAAAAAAAATTCAAAGTTGAGCCATATCACTTGTTCACTCGTAAATGGTTATTTTGTTGTCGATTTAAAGTGCATATAAATTCATTCACGATTTATTTTTGTATTTTTTTTCTGATTTTCACAATAAACAACTGTTGTTAATAAATTCAGAAAATGAACTTGTGTTAAGTTTTCAATCTAATGAAGTGCAGCCCGAAAGTTTCTAGCTTATAACTAACTGCCCTGCAAAATGTGTTGAGTGAAAAAAGTCGTGTCATTGAAAAATCAATACACTCATCTATATACATATAGGAGACCGCCCCGATTCACTCATCAACGCCCAGACCAAACCATTGGACGGATTGGACTGAAATTTGGCATACAGATAGCTATTATGGCGTAGGCATCCGCTAAGAAAGGATTTTTCGAAATTTTGAATTTAAAGGGTTGAAATCGGCAAAAAAAAAATTTTACATGTAATTTGTATATCTATATTCATATAATAATAACAATAGCAGTCGACCGATTACGGGAAATACGGTACGGCACGGCGACCAGAGGGTTCCATCTACCTGTACTCTGACCTTTCTTTTGTGTGTGTATTTTATCAGCGTGTAGATATGAATTGTTCCGTTGCTATATTATTATTTATGAGTTGTATAGAAAACACCTATATACATATAGGAGACGGCCCCTATTCACTCATCAACGCCAATATATGTATAGCTATATATATGTATTTTTTTCCAACTGTTAATCGCTGTTCAGTGTATTGATAGTGCTAATAGTACATGGAATTCACAATTTAATAGTCGAAGTTATCGGCGACCCGCGATTGCAACGCACAATAGTTACGGGCGGTAGACGGTCAAAGTACAAAGATAACGTGAAATGGTGATACGTGCTGCCTACAACTCCGTCGGCCCTACTCACCCCCCACCATTGACCGATCAGCCACCGTTGTCATCGTTGTCGCCGCTGTCGTCTGACGTATTTCACTTCCATTGCGTCTTGCGGCTATTAAACACGTATTTATTCGAATACGCTTTGAAAACTGTTTGATCGACGTGAAATACAAACCACGTGAGTTCATATAAATTGGCGTTAACCGAATTTTAGGTAAAAATTATTAATTATTTTTTCATTAAAAATTTTTAATATGACAATCGACTTTTTAAACGTGAATGGGGAAATGGTATCTCACATCGTTGTACCTATTACAGGAGATGGTGCCTGTTTATTTAATTCGCTCTCCTATCTTATGTACGGAACTGAGCAAATGGCCAGAGAAATACGCAAGGTTATTGTGAGCCACGTAACAAAAAATTGGACGGAGTTTTCTATCATGTCTCACGACAACAATGGGGACAACTATATGAGTTCCGCTGAGTATTTTGCTGACATGTCTCAATTATATACTTATGGTGGTTTATGTGAATTGGTGGCCGCTGGACAATTGTTCCACTACGTTTTTGAAGTTTACCACAATTATCAGCTCTATGAGCGTTTTGGTATTGAAGGTTACCCTGTGTTGAGGATGCGTTTTACGCAAAATCTCTCTAGGGGCCATTTTGATGTCTACCTGCCTAATGAGTCAGAAATATTGATCCCACAGATAGACTCTTGGTTGTTATACTCTCACTGTTGCGAAATCTCCACCCACCCAAACTCTGCAATGGTACTCGACTGTGCGTGAAAGCACTCCAAAACAATTTAATTGAGGCAACAATACTTACAGGTTGTGCTAAAGGAGAAACAACGTTTATACCACGTATACCACTTTTGTCATCAAACTATCCATTCCAATTTAAAAGACTGCAGTTTCCTATCAAGGTATCTTTTGCAATGACTATAAATAAGTCGCAAGGGCAGTCGTTGAAGATAGCAGGGATTGACTTGAGTGATGACTGCTTTACACATGGGCAATTTTATGTGGCATGCTCCAGAGTTAGTTCCCCTACAAGCTTAGTCATTCTTGCCCCAAACGGAAGAACAACCAATGTAGTTTATAAGGAGGTGCTACAATAATAATAAAACAATATATATAAATAATAATAATATTCACATCCTATAAATAAATGTTATCAATGAATCTAATAGTGCTATAACAATTAACACACACAAACAATTAAATTGTGAATTCCACGTAATATTAGTACCAACAATACAATTAAATTAAACACTAACACACGGCCTATGAAAATGCCAAAAGGGAAACTAACACACGGGCAACGCCGTGACGGGTCAGCTAGTCCAGTATTAAAACAAAAAAAATTATAAGAAATAAAATGAGTATTCAACACAAACCTGCAGGATTTTCACCAAAAGATGGTGCGGTTATGGCTGGTAATCTCATGTTGGTACCATTACCATGTTGACTCCTGTCGTCCTTGAATGGTCCGTGTGCCAAACCACCTCCACCAGCGCCAATCACCAAAGGTAAGTATCCTTCTTCCCGCGAGCCCTTTAATTTGAAAACATTTGAAAAATATTATTATGCATTTGAAATACCTACGTATTTTGTAATGTTTTATTCAAATATGGAAGTTACAAAAAATGGAATATATTTCTCATTATGATATGAAACATCTATATAGGTCTATAAAAGCTATTTACATTATTTATACGGTGGTTTTTTTTTTCAGAAGTACAGATCAATAACCAGGACGGCGCCGTATTTATGTATGCATGAGTCAACACATTTTGAGTGTCATCAATCGTATTACCTATACATGGCGATTTGTTAGTATTGATAATTTACTTTGGAGAAGGTTTATTTCGAAATTACCTATATTTTTAAAATTTAAGATACCCACTATCTTCATATTGTCTTCATTGTTATTATAATATTTACTAATGTTTATAAGTGTAACTTCCGGTATGATATTAAATTTTTTTAAATAATTGCATTATATTTTTAATTTCATAGTCTTGCACACAATATTTTAAAAGTACCTAATATTACTTGTATTATTATCAAATTTATAAATTATTGATCTGCTATTTGCAGAATTATTCTTATTTTAGATATGAGTGCATTTAAATTAAAACAAAGATTCGTATTTCGTTCTGTATTCAATATTTACTCATTCATTAAATAAAAATGATTGTATTTGTTATTTAAAAATCAAAAGTTGAGAGTGGTTTTTACGTTCCACCATAAAAAAGGTGAACAATAAAAATATCCATTTATCATAATTATAATATTGTAAAAAAAATCGGATACGATGAGTGATCATTAATATAATTTCCCTGTAAATATGTTTTTAATTTTTGTTGTGTAAATTGAAGATGTATTGTACTACTACTACTTCTTCTACTAAATACTATTAAACGATTTTAGTTTGAATTAAACAATAACGTAAATTAAAAACTTTTAATGAAAATGGGTAGGTACACCATTTTACCTAACTAGTTCTCTATCTGCTATCGAAATAATTCGAGTTGAACAAACTTAATTCGTTTAACAAATTATCGTCTATGAATGAAAGTATAGAAATAAAGTTTCCAAATAATAAAACTGCGTGACTATGTACATTTAAAATAATTTACACATCGAAATTCGTTATGATCATCATTTTCATTCGTTATAAAATTATTTGTAAATAATATAATAAAGTTTTTTTTTCAACCTATCTTGTGTACTGGTTACACTATTGATTAAATTAAATCAAAAAAAAACTTTATTCAACGTTAATGTATAATACCGCCCCGGAAATAATGTAATTATTACATTTCTGAACTGTTATAATACTTCATCGAGGATATATTCATCGTGTCAATATAATAATTAATTCTGATGTTATATTATCATAGAGTTATTCGTTTGTATAATATAATAATATATCTCTCGACCCTGGCAGCGGAATAACGTTCTCTCGTAATGAAATATTAAATATTTTCGGACATTTCACGGTCGCAACATTGTGTGTATAATTCATTCTTGGAAAAGTATGCGCCGCTCTGGATCGCGAATAACAATGGCGTGTGGTGGAAAGTTTGTTGTTCTACGTTGGTTTCGGGTCCGTGTCCCACGAGAAATCGGCACTTAACTGTAAAAACAAAAGATCCACCTCCACCGCCTCCACCGCCGTTGAGCAGGCGCAAGTCGTGCAATTCTTTGAGGGCGCTACCGGTCCTGAAGTATTGTTCTTGCTGGCACGCGTCGTCGCGTTTTTCAAACGTCTAAACATTCAATGGAAAACAATTAGAACCTGTCCAGCACAAAACATAATATAATATAAATAGGTAATGTTTAAGTATATTGTTGTACGGAACAGTGATCATCCGTTTAACCGGCCACGCCGACTTTCCGAAACAATTTTCGTATTTTTGGAAAAAAAATTATATCTTTTAATGGTTTGAAGTGTATAATAGTTTATTATAATACTATAACACTACCTGGATAGGAGGTACCTATACCACCTACCTAAATTAAACATAACTACGGTAGCTGGTATATAATTCTTTAGTTTTAGGTTTTTAGTTTTTTCAAATTTCAATCAAAAGCAGAATATTTATCTATAAATGTTGACGTATATTAAAGTGTCGAATTATAAATGAGCATTTTTTTTTCTATAACTTATACATAAACGTTTAAAGTTAAGATACTTCTAGTAAAATGCTAATGATTACTTTTCTAGAGTTGTCGCTGTCCACATTACTGTCCACTCTTCTAAACATAACTAAACGCTTAATATAATAAAAAAACTGCAGTTCGTTCAATTTCCGATATTTATATACGTTTGAAAGAGTATTCTGCTGCTGATTATTAAATTAAAAACCTACGTGGACATGAATAAGAAAATTGAAAACAACCGAGAAACCATTACAACGAGGACGGTGAAAAATGTCGCTTTTTTATGGACTTTAAGTTTTTATACATCGGAGTAGGTTTTGATCTGTTAGTCGTGTAGAGTAAGCCACCGTTCTCCGTTGTCGTCGTAATAAACTCAAATTACGAATATTATGTTATCAGCGGCATAGGCAGTGCTCGGGCAGAAACACATTGTTTGCCATTAATTTTTTTGTGTTATTGATTTGTACCGATTGCAAGTGAATGCATCAGTGAAGCGGAATATAGGTACACTTGCGCATGGAATAAGTCGTATCAGGGTGCGATCCAAGTGAGCTAGGGACCACGTCCCGATGGTCGGGTCCAAGAACAAATGAATAGGTGCGACAGAAACTTTGTGATAAGCACAACATTTTCAGCCACCTATTATCAATCGTTATTGTATCAGTATCACAGTATTACTTTATCGCATATATTGTTTAACTATAATATAATATGTATTCTAATGAGAAGAGGCGAACTCAATATTTGAGCGGAATCTGTTGTTAACTTGGATATTGCTGACATAGGTAGTTAATTATTTTGTCATGGTCGCATCGGGCAGAATGCATTTGATTAGCTATTTTTAGTTCAGACGTGGTATGGTGTTGCGGCGAGCGGTCAGCGAAAACCGGTAACGGATTATCATTGATAAGCCGTTTTATTGTTTATAAATTTGTTTATGCGGTGTAATATCAATATTTATATCATTGCCGAAGCGGCGTATATCATATTACAATATTATATTGTTTCATTTATTACTAATTTTCCATAACGGTCAATCAGACTAACATTTATTATAATATACAGTAGGTGGGCGCCTACATCCCCCTGCTGGTGTATAAAATAATAATTATTCATATTGATGTATGTTTTGTGGTGTAATATTTGAATTTTTAATACAGTCCACTCCCAATATTGAAACCAGCCGAAGTTGTTGATTTTTTATTAATATTATAGTAATTAGTAAACTATTACATGGTTGAATTATTTTGTACAGTAAGTACACGTCAAAACACACTGAAATACACTTTATATTTTAAGTCTACCTTGCAACTATATAAAAACATCAAAAACGAACTTGGAAAATGTTAGTGTAGCTATAATAATATTTAAATGGATGACCCTTTGCATGCAGGCTGAGTTACCTTGTCTCAGATTTCACGTGCACCAGAGGTCCAGCCTGTGCACACTCATAGTATTATTATTTTATAAATAGGGCTCATTCAATACGATTCATCCGGCGTTTTGAATCATGCATCCCAGGTCACCGGATCTTATAATCATGTGTGGATTTAGAATTATGAAATGAGGGGTTACCTCCCCCCCGGTGAGCTACATTTTTTTTCAGAAAAATGAATAAAATTATAATTTTAGCACATTTACGGATGACATTATAGATAAGATCAGTGCTTACAAACGTGATATAACGTTATGATTATAACGGTATATGTGACAAAAAAAAAAGATTGAAATTTGTAAACGTACTTATAAACGATAATCAAAAATAATGAAATACCGCAAAACAAAATATACTATTTATCATTAAATAAAACATAACGCAAAACGTAATTTATCGAACAAAAAATAACGCATAACGAAATATTTTAAAATCTATTTATTTAAAAGGTCTATTGGTTTTGAATAAACATTTATTTCATGCAAACAATCTAAGAATCGATTATATTATATTCCATATCCTTGCCATTGCCTATACCCGTTATTATTTTTAATAACGTTTTAATTCTAAATAACGATTAACGCAAAAATTGTCGAACGTTTTAATTGTAAATAACATAAAACAGAATTTTTTTTTTTCAAATGCAAGCTCTGGATAAGATTTGATTACAATATGGGGAAGGGTTAAATCCAACTTTGATCCTCACATTGATCCACGCCTAGCCGTAAATCGTAATACGATTAATAGTCTGTACAAGCACCGCCATTACCATCAATCTTCGATGAGATAACAATATTGGCGGGATCCACTTACAACAAATTGAGCAAGTATGTGATGAATTTGACTATCAATTTGATATTGTTGTCCGTGTGAGTATGGGAAGCCACACGGAACGCTTATCAAACATTAAATTTCATATAGTATTACTTTATTCGATGTATAATCTATCGATTTAAGCCGAAGAACTTAAAATATTTGTAACCGTTTGATATCGGATGAATCATAAGTATTGAATAACGCGTGTTGAGTACCTTTGTAATATTATTATTAAATTATTATTAATATTATCGACGTTTGCCGTTGGCGGCCATAGGTTATTTTAATATATCGAACACCCTTACTTTCCGGCACGCGTCTCCGCCTTCCTGACCGACCAATATGTGCAACTGTTGATGTTTTGACAACTCAACAACCGCGATTGCTGTGGCTCCCTTCGAAATTCCCATTCCGTCGGCACCCTTTCCGCCTCGAGCTCCTCTAGCTATTATACTGAAACACACAAAACCGAAAGACCGGGGATTTGAAATATTTGACAATCGCATTTTTGGGAGTACAATAGGCACACTAAAGAGGACATTATTAATAGGACGCATTTGTTGTGTACGTCTTACGATCGCGCAACACAGTAAATGTACGTTAGTCAGTTTCAGTTGAGTTTCTATAATTGTATTATTATAGTGAGTTGACGTAATATCAAGGTATGGGTTGTAACATTATAATATTATATATTGTATTCTCTCAGAGGTAGCTTATCCATTTTTTTTTTTTTTAATATAAAAACGTGTTATGAGCATTATTTTAACTTTATCGTTATATTTTACATACTATAATATTTTATCTTGCTTGAAAATGTAAACATTGAAAAACAACACAGATAATGTTGTTGCCTTTAAATTTTATAATAAGTCAATACACCTTAGTAGTGTAACAAGGCTTAGAGACTTCCATCATTTATATGGGTTTTTTGGATGGTTACATAAATAGCAGTGTTAACTGAAGACCCTATTAGGGGGAATATATAAGGAATCTAAAATCAAAATATTGTATTTGAATTAGGTATATAACTAATTGATAAATGAGCTATATTTTTTTTTTTTAATTGGTAAACTTTTTACAAGGACCTAGTATGTATTCAAATCATATTATATTTTAATATTGGTTGTATCAAATCGTGGTACAATAATATAATGAGATTTTGTTTTGGTACTCAAGTTTAATCTATTGATAGAATACATTATGACAGGTAAATTTCGTCGAGTTACCACCGTGACCTATTATTTTACATGTCGGGATAAATTTTTACTTTCTCACTTTTTTATATTTTTGTTTTGACGGGAGCAAAATAAATTTAGCATAAAATTATAATATTACCTCAATACTAATAATGTTAGAAATTAGTTAAATTTACGTAATTTAGGCGATCGTAGTCAACTGAATCTATAAGAAATGTAGGACTGTCCTCTATAATATAGGTACCTATACGTAGGTATATAGATCATGAGTAAAGCACGCAACGTTTTCGTTTCGGATTAAATAAAGTCATAATGGCACTCACACAGATTGTATTTTTCTTACAAACATAACACATCTACCTTGGTAATAAGCGCAGGTACCACAGAATACGTGTACGGCATACGCCAAAAGCCAACTATACAGTTAAGTGGTAGTTATTGCTCATTAATTCTTGTAAGTAATACATTTCGTAGCATTGTTCCGTTGTTCACGGTACAATCGCGTGTTAGGTTACATTAGTTTTGTGGTTGTTGTTATTTTTTGTTTTTTTTTTTTTTAATTAACTTGTGTAATATTTTTATACCGAGCTCATTTAATTTTTTTGATTTAACAGTATGTTACATAAATATTGACATTACAATTTTTTTTTTTAAATTGGGCTCCTTTTATAATATTTAATCGTAATCGACCCATGTCGTTTTTCCACGACATCGTGTTTGATGAACATTTTTCGGGGAAAACTGAGTGTGTGCTCATACCCTTCGATATCGATTTCGGCTTTTAAATAATGTATTTGTGATGTCGGGGCGGTGTAAATATTTTTGAGTGTATTTACTATATTTTCATGGTTCGGTATTATAAAGATACATATTAATATTAATATTATTATTAATATTTTTGGTGGGTCTAACAGTGTTTGGGATGTTATATTTTTTGTACATTTAATTATGATTATTTGTGTGTTTCATCATCAATGTTATCAAAATACAAAAGCTCTTATTAGATAATTTTCTAAATACTATATTTATTTGACGTTAGGATTTGGCATAGGTATAGTTAAAATGTTGACTTTTGAGGTATTCCCTTAAATACTATCACCTGATATATAATTTATATTATGAAAATTGGTTTTAGCTTTTATAATGACGAAGTTTTTGATTTAATTATTATGTACGCTATTAATTGTATTATTTCTCGTATCAATGTTTTTGCTTGGGACTGTGATGGTTGAAAATCGGTATTGTATGAGTGGTGTTGATGATCGAGGTGCTCGCAGTTTATGATTATGTAGTATTTTACTTAATTTTAAGATTGTTGTATTTTTAGATGACTTGGTAATTGTATTTAGTGAAATGTGCGAGTTAATTATAATTAACATTGTTTTACTGGGTAGTAGGTATTCCTGATATGACATTATTTTCATTTTAATGGTTTATAACAATGCATTACAATATTTTTATTACCTGTTTATAGGTGTAGGTAGTTATGCAATTTCTATCGGAAACAATAAAATAACACAATATATAAAATAAAGTTGGTAACACACACTGCAGGAGGTCAAACCCGTACTGATTTGACATTATAATATAATAATATGTAAGTATATTTGACAAGTCGTTTATTTGTACATTTTCAATATTATATTTTTTATTAGAAAAATTGAAGGATGAAAATCCAAAACGTACTATTGCCAAAATACTGATTTTTCAAGAGAATCGATTTTCTGTAACTTAACGTTTCCTATAAAAACAAACCATTTATAAATAAACAAATCGTTTCGAAAAAAAATGTTTTTTTTTAAACATTTATATATTATTTATATTATTTAAAACGATTCAAATGTTTTAAATATTCTAGAGTTATGTTTTTAATTTAATTTCAAACTTAATTAAAATGTTTTAAATTAAATTTTGTATTAACTTTTTATTTTTGTATTAACTTTTTTTACTTTAATATATTATAGACGTTTAGTTATACCTACAACACGGGTAATAGTATGTTTTGGCATAACATATAAAAAAAATCATTTTGGGAATAGTTCGTTAATGATATAGTTAATGGTATAGTTAATGATTGGTTCCTATTATTTTAACATGGGAAAAAGTACATTTTTATTTTATAAATATATTTTTATCTGAAGGCGCCAATCGATTGATCTTTTTTTTTCCATAAGAATACTCGATTTTGTTGGCATAAAATATGTAGTTATATTATGTACAATAATGTATTATTTTTCAAATTTTCATAAATATTTGTCTTGATTGACGAACATCATTTATTTTGTGTATGTATATGTATGTATGTATGTATGTATACATATATGTATGTATGTACAGTGGCGTACATACGGGGGGGTTTTCGGGTTCAAACCCCCCCCAGGACAAAAAAAAAAATAAAAAAAATAATGTGATATTATTGATGAATTTCTTATTATTAATCAACCGTGTATACACAAATATACGTCATAATAATATGACTATTGAGTAAACACTAAACACTATACTTAACAACAACAATAAATGATTTCATAACGAAATTATGGGTGCCGTATAATATGATATATCAATCAAAATAGACATTATTTTGATCGTACACAGTCAGTTAGTTGCGTGCGGATATAAATACATATTAATATTGTCTTTATCTCGACCGACTCATTATAAACACACAAGACTGGGCGAGTTAAGTTTTTTTTTTTTTAACTCAGTTAAGTTAATATGCATACACATATTGTATTTTTAAGTACAGAAGTTACCTATCACATAAGTAATAAGTAATAAATAATAATAAATAAGTATTATATATTTTAGTTGTCTTTCAAACAGATATTATTTGTGTACGATGAGTAGGTATTTTTAATTTTAATGTTTTAACTATCAACGTGAATATTGTTAATAATAATTTTTAATAATAATTAATAATCTCACAAAACCGTAAAATCATAAAATCAATAGGTAATTGATTTATTTATTTTTGTTTATTTTTAGATTTTAGTGTCGGCAAACTATATCATAATATTATGTCTATATTATTGAAATTTTGACATGGCAACAAAATAGACTCAAATAATGAAATGTAAAAAAATGAAAAACAAAATAAATTAACTTACAAATAAAAAAATTAATTCGTTAATTTAACGTTGATTAAAAAATAAATTTAGTAAATTAGTAGTTAAGTTAAAAATTATTATTATCACATCATAATCATTATCATTCGATTTCGATATATTTTAGGTTTTGAAGGTAAAATAAATAGTAATCATGGCTGAAAAAAAACAATCGAAACTGCAATCTTTTTTTTTCGAAACCACCCTCAATAATGAATTCATTGTCAAATTCATTGAATACAACAGTTATAAGTTCCTCTAGTTCCTCATTACCATCAACTGCATCTGCATCTGATACACCTATCACTCAGTTTACACCTTCGACTATAGATATTAATCGTAGTATCGTACATCTTCCAGTTATAATATTTTTGACATTGCACATTACACAAATAAATTGTTAACGCAAAGTGAAATAGAAGAAATTTTGAGCAAAATTTGGGTCCCTGATATTAATTACAATTTTCCTATCAAAATATCAGTAGTCGGTAAGCAACAAAAAGTTTTGAGGTTGAAATTTCAATATAAAAGGCTAATTAACTTTCCCTGGTTAGCATATTCAGAAGTAAACAATGGTGCGTATTGCAAATATTGTGTTGCTTTTACTAAAAATAAAGCCGGTGTTAATTTAGAATATCACAATCAATAGAATTTTTATTATAAATAATTAATAATATAATATTTATAATATTCTGTACTTACTATGTGCATATTAAATAATATTTAAATGCCATGAGTTACGTAAACCTTTGTATTTGTTTTGCTATTTTGCCTATTAATATTTATACGTGTAATGTGTTTGATTGTTAGGAAAATGGGTAGTTGCAAAGAGAAGGTTTTAGTGCTGGTTATTTTTTTTTAAACCTCCCCCAGAGCAAATTTGAATGTACGCCACTGTGTATGTATGTATGTATGTATGTATGTATATATGTATACATGTATAATATATGGAATTACGTGTTTCAGGTAGTTATAAGTTATAACTAATGGCTACCTGCACATGGACATATTATGATAAAGATTTATGGCCATTGTGTTTATGCTCATTTTTGTCATTGAAAAACAAAAATTATTTGAAAACGAATTCGATGTACGTAATAGTTAAAAAGCTATGTATTGAACTATTGAAGAACAAATGTATTGGTCCATACCAATTAAGTAATTGTATACACATGTATTATATACCAATCGTGTTTGTCGAGACCATTATTGGATTTCATTGAATACTTAATAGATACTTACGTATAAACTCCCGTCTCAGGTATATGCCAAATCTGTACTCCATCCATGTATGTGTCGTTAACCACTATCACAGACACAGTACTATTTGTGTATGCAGCTTCGCACGACCGGTTACTAGGGCCCAGTCTACCCTTTGATCCACAAGTCGTAAATTTATAAACTGGAAATAAAATTCGTTGTATATATTATTATACATTGGTAGTTATTTGTATTGTATTCATTGAAATATAAATAAAGTAAATAAATTTAGTAGGTATTAAAATATATATTCCATACATAATAGTAGTACTACAACTTCACCACAAATACTATTCCTGAGCTTCAAAATGTTCAATTTTAATTAAAATTAATAAATAATAGATAATGGCAATAATATTATATATTATTAAACTTTTGAATGAATATTGCAATATGACATCGCATACCTAGGTACCTATAGCTTTTACAACTGAAGCTGTGTTTATGAGAGTTTCAGAACTATATATTATATTGCAGTATAATAATTTGTATAAAACTCATAATATTACTGTTTTAGACAGTATTTAGTTAGGGCCAGAAGAAAAATTTGAAAAAATCACATATAAAATGGATCATAATATTTTTATGTATTTTTTATTGGATAAAGGCTTCGACGACTGAGCTTATTAGCCTGTAAGTTTGGTAGGGTTGGTATGGTAAGATTAAAACGGTTAGATCGATGAATGTATTGGTTACACAATGATGTGTGTTTATTATTTTAATTTTAATTTTATGTGTCATTGTACACGATAAGTAGTCGAAATAATACTTTGATTGTATCTTGTTCGATGTGAAAGTGAAGGTATTTGGTGCATAGAGGAGGTCAAAATTTAAAATTCGAAGTAGTTTTCTTAAGCACAGGGAAAAACAAAAAAAAAAATTTGGAACTATATGTATTTAAAAGTTATCTATAATTAATTGGTTCGATATTTAATTAGTATTTATGATATTGGTACTCATCCGAAAAATATTCTGCTTTGGAAATGAAATGAAATTTTGCATGTTGTCTTTCAAAAAGGTTACTCTAAAAAAATTAAATCGATAACAAATTGTAAAAATATCATTCTGTCATGACATAGTAGTATAATGTAACAAAATATTTCAAAAGAGTTAGAACTTTTGGAAATAATTCGTTTATGCATTTAAATGAATCATCTTGTATAATGATGTGTAAATATTATAAAGTTGTTTGTTAAAAGATAAAAATAATAATAAACAACAATATCAACAAAAAAAATAAAAATAATAGTAATAATATCATAAACTCTTTCGAAAAAACGTCAGCGACGTATTTTTTTTTTTAGAGTAAATTGGGTAGGTGCGTTTCACCGTTCCGGGAACACACGCAAAGTTTGTATTTATTTTCATTCGAAATTGAACGAAATTCAATTACGGCAAAGGAAAAAAAAAACAGAAAAGAGAGATCGACGTTTAACATTTCCACCGACCGCTCTCAGAAATAATATAATATATAAATGTCGTAATATTAAAACGGCCGCCGCCGCCGCGAGACCAAAGGTCGAAACTTTAAAAGCCGCCAGACATTATCGACACAACGCTAGTTTATTAATAAGCATTATAAATGATTTAATACACGGAATTACCGCCGGATACGTCTCGTTGTGCATACATTTCCGGTAAATTTCCACCGCCGTTATTTGTTGTTTCGACCGCCGCCTCCGCCGCCGTCGTGTTTTCACTCCAAAATATATTAATTTATCAAACGATGTGTGTGTGTGTGTGTGTGGGCACCAATAATAATAATATGCTGTATCGCCAACTCTTAATAATCTCCGGATTATGCCAATGGAACGCTCTCGTTCGGGTGACCCGTAACAGAATAATAATAATAATAATAATAATTGTTCATCCCCGCGCTCGGCGTATCGGAAACGATGTGGTAGCCCTTATAATATTATAAATAAATATTATACTGTACAGAAGCGCGAGCACGCCTTTCGTTAAACGACGACATTAGAATGTAAAGTTCGTTATATTTATGCTATACATTATTATTTTATCACGCTCGAGATGTGCGTGGCCTACCGCAGCTACTTCAGTTGTAATATTATTATTATATTATCGTAACACCGTAAAATATTATGTTATTATTACTATAACGACGTAATGAAGTCATATTGTTACTGCCAACGCATAATATTATTGCGACATATAGGTAGGTACTTTTTAACCCACCCACACGACCCACACGACAGCCAAAACGTTTGACTGCGATTCCCGGATTCGTACATGGAAATCGTAAAAAACTTTCAGGCGTGATTATTGATTGAACAGTAAACGAACCAATCCGAGAACGAGCTCCTCCTCGACTTTATAGACGCAAATGTCTATAGTGTACATCGTCAAAGGCATCGATTACATAACTAATGTGTCGAATTTTAATTCGATCACAAATCATTGCATAATGTATAATATAGGTAGGTACGTATAAAACGGATGAGGCGTATCGCAGCTTATCATACTCCAAGGAAATATTTTATGATTTACGGGTAGTGGTCGCTGTGGGGCAAGTGTAATAATTTTTACCAAAAAATCAATAGTCTGTTTTGGGCGAGTGCAATTAGTTTTACCTATCCACGTGAGCGATAATATGCACTCCGATGCCCATGTGATTTTATTATATTAATTGTTGACCGTACATTATTATATTATTAAGTTAGAGTCCATTATTAGTTATGTATAATAATATATTGTGCTATGTGATTTTATTTTTTCAATTCATAATTTACACATTACCGTACAGTACTTCTATAAACTAATTTACCTATACTTAAACCTACTCATATAATTTTTCACCCAAATGGTTAAAAACTATTCACCAAAATCACCACATTTTCGGTCGATCCGTCCAAAATATGGTTTACGCCCGTGGGCTCTACATCTGAAATCACGTGGTTTTTATTTTTCTTCTCATCTAAATGGCATTCTGATAATTTTAATAATATATTTAATAATCGATATAAAATTCCTAAAATAATTTTTTGGAAAAATACTATACGAAAACTAAGTAGATTATCAAAAACTATTATAATATTATATTTCGTAAATTAACAATACGTACGTGAAGTTATCCCCCGACTATTTCTGATCGACTATCCGGACCCATGCCAATATTTTGTAACTCGTTCACAGTCGAACTATTTCGTATAGTTCAACGTTCGTTTCATACCGGATAGCTACCGTATCGTATAAAAGTACTCTCACACAGTTATTTCGAATAAATAACGTAACCGCGTGTAGGTGACCACGTTGAACAATAAACAATATTATTTAATATTTTAGATTTCGTAGAGCGAATGTCCTTATGACAATATAGTTATATGGGTAAACTCCTACAATAGGTACCTAAAGGGGGAAATGTTAGGTCTAGGGGGGAAGCAAAATTCTCCTTACTTCGTTATGACTCCGTGCTGAGTAGTATACGTTTTTCTAAGATGAGTTGATGATTTAGTTCAGTTAATGCATTAGCGTACAACTGAGTCAAAACGAATTTTCCAAAAGTTTCATGTAGCCTAATGTGGTATAGTCACAATGGATATTAAAACCAAATCCGATTGTATCACAATGGTTCAAAAGCAAACATGACATTTTCCCCGATCGCTTATTATCTTAATGTACAGATAAAAGCCAGTAGTTTCATAGCAGTTTCATTTCGGTTGATGAAAAACTCATTTATTTGGCAATTCGAAATTTTCGGACCTGTGAGTTTGTGTTTAACTGTATTCTTATACTTATATATCTGCAATTAAAAACTTCAAACATAATTTTTAGTCATGACAATGACTTCTATAAGCTACGCAGTTTGAATTATAGTGAAATATATAAGTTATGAATTATGACTGTATTATTAACGATTATTTTTTAAAAATAAACAAGTATTGGTTAATCCAACAAGCATTCTTACCCTAATGTTTTCCTTCAATTAATTTAAATTCTAATTTATGGGGTATTTAAATATAGGTAGGTGCTTAAGAATCATATTTAAAATATTTTTTTATAAATGAGACCAACGTTTTTTACTGTACATTGTTAGGTAAATTATTTGTTGAAACTATTGTTGTATCTAAATCGAAAATTAAACGAGTGGTTTTAGAGCTTTTAATTTTGTGTGGGTATTAATCATATTAGGTCCATGATAATGTGTTCAGATGATTATTTTTGGACTATAACGATTTCGAAATGTTAGTAATTAATATTTATCTATTAACATTTTATAATTTTTCATTATCAGAGTATAATACTATGTAATTATGTACCTAATATATACATTGATAAATACTACATTCAACATAAAATCTGTTTTATGTTATTGTAAAACCATTTTTAAGGACTTTTTATGAATTTACCGTCTTCAACTATAAAGGTTATTAGCCAACATTATTTAATGTAAAAATGTATTAATATCTACACGACTACACTAAATAATTAGTTTATGTTTATATTATAATAATAGGTATGTTAACTAAGCTAGAGTTTGTTAAGATTGAATTTGATGATTCATGAAATTTGGTATACATCGAAAATTTTTTTGATATTGCTGGGGGACTATAAGGATTTTGTATGTTAGTTCATATATGGGATATTCTTCGAACATGTATTTTTATTATGATGAGTATTTAACATGTGAGTCATATTCGTTGATGATCTTTGCTTATTAGAAAGGAATGAATAACAAAAGTGTGTCCGATTTTTAAGAAATATTTCTCTGCACAGTTTAATAAAGCTGAAACTACTCTTATATGTTTGGATTTAGAAGCATAAACATTTTTGAAAACACTATAAAAATTAAAATATTTACATTAAAAAGTTTGGTTGTCGTTCGGAAAAAAGAAGTTTGTATCGCTACAGTACACTCCTTAAATTATACATCAAATCTAAATAAATGCAAATATTGTTCTGAAGTATGCTTTACAATTACATAAATTGGAATTCGAATAAATAGGGACCAGTATGTATAACCAACCTGTATTTATATTTTTCGTTTTTATGCTTAACCATTTAATACATAATTGTTTTTTATACCATCGGTAAACAATATTTATAATATTATCTCTACAGATAAATAAATGTTGAACATACGGATCAAAAATTTTTATAAGGATCTCAGAATTGTGAAAATCCTGTAATAAATATTACTGAAGTCAACTATTAACTGAGCTGAACCAAAAATCCTATTCCAAGTATGTGATTCTTTATTAAATTGGCTTAAAGTGTTGAAATACCAATTCAACACACTGTAGTTTACATTGGATTGTGGGCAGATCAAGACGAGTGTCTTAGCCAACGAAAAGTGTAACATGCACGAATATTTTTATTTTCAAATATAATGCGTTATGACAATTTTTATATTATGATTTATGGTTATTGTTCTAGACTTCAATTAATAAAGTAGCGTTGAATTAGAAACGATAAAGTGTTTATAATTATAATAAGAATTTCTGGATAAAACGAGACAAGAACGAAAAGCATAATTTTCAACTGACCGGATTTACGATGATAATAATAATAATATAATGTTCATATATCTATAAACTGCTGTGTATATAAAAGATATAAATATGAATATAAAACCATTGTGTTGTATTTTCGAACAAATGAAAAAAACCCTCCTTACACAGCAATACCATTTTTTTCCGTTATTACTATTATTTTAATCGTCGCTATATACATATAGGTATGTAAATCTTTATGTGTATATATTAGAGGTGCATACGGAATGATTCACCAAGCATGTTTAGCCCCCTTTTATCCTTTTATAATGCATTTATTCACATTCAGATTTTTGGAATTTTTAAGTATAATCAAGAACCATGTTTTCGAATACTTTGATTTTCTATACAATTTAATTTAAGGAGTGTCCTACGGTGATACAAACTATCTTTTTCTCTTCAAATAAGAATCAATAAATTGTTATGCAGATAATTACTTTGAACAAATAAACGCTTCTAAATTAAAATTCAGACCTGTCATTAAGATTGTATTAAAGACAATAGATCCGGGATACTAGGCCTGGATGTTGATTGCTTTTGCCAATAAAATAATTTAGTTTTACCTAATATTAGGAAAAATCCTTAAATCAAAATGTCCAATTGTTTTCTAAATTGAAATCTTTTTTTGAAATTCAAATTTAAATCAATACCACTTGTGTTTATACATTGTAATTTTTAATTTTAAAATTGATAAATAATTGTATTATTTTGTGTAAGTATTTATAGCTCATTTACATACCATACAATTTTTTACGGCATTTTTAGGCTATTTTTATAAATTGATAAGGGCATCAGCATCTGGGCCATAGACTGATGACTGATATTATAGTAATTTATTTTAATTTATCATAAATTTAAAATTTGTATAAGTATAATATAATTAGGTAATGGACTAAAATAATTTGTACATTCACTTTAATACTTTATGTTAGATGTAAAACCTTTTTTAACGACTTTACTATCCTTAGGGTTCACACACTTTAGTATCTAAGAAACAAAGGTACTCGTTAAAATCCGATTAAGATAATAAATCGAAATGATTCGAAACATCATCTGCTTAGCAGTTTACAGCAAAAGAAAAAATGCTTACTAGGCATCTCGTTTGAAAAAAAATATAAGTTTGTGTCACCACAATCCTGTAACTCCTTAAATTATTTGTAAAATTCAAATATCTACTAAAATATTATGGTTCTAAACACAAAACCGAAAAATCAAAAAAAAAAATCAGAACTTAAACAAAACATGTACCTATTGTTAAGGATGAAAGGAGGTGAGTATGCTTGATGAAAATATACCCTGTATATAGGTAATATTATATATATTATAATAATAGGTATATAGATTGTACAGCATTTCGTTGCTTTATCTACGTGTCATGGGTGTAGAGTGATTTTTATCTTCCTTTTATCCTAAAATCGTGTACCCGAACCCTATTACGGTTTATTTTTCAACACACCCATATTTTCCTCAAAAACAAAAACCAAAAGATAACGATTATTTTTAAATGGCAGGGGACGCGTTCAGTGTACGTATCATTATAATAATACATTGTGCATCGCTGAATAGAGATAAATGGTCGACAAGACCATATTATGATAGATGATCGGAATGAATAAAATAATGTATATTTTCGCAATTCACGATATTATTAAAATAACGCATGCTCGTGCTATGGCGATTGAACATAATATTGTGGTGGATGTAAGCGAGAAAAGTATAAATTGTGTTTTCATGTTGATTAACGACGAGACCCGAGACTATATATATACCCATATTAATAATTTGTTATCACTTAACGACAATTATAATGACATAATCTCACATACCGATTTTGTTTCGGAAATCCGGATTGATGGGAATCTTCATAAGTGTGGCTGAAACAATGAAAATACATGCGATATTATTACATTATCGTCAATTCAAGCAAGCAGTATTATTGTAATATTATTCTTAAAATATACATTTACTGTTTTTCGTTTAAATTTCCATAATATTATATTAAAATTGTAGGCATTTTAAAGAAATCAGTGACATATAATAATCAAAATAGTGGTTCACACACATTTGATCTACATTTATTTAATAAGACTAGAAATACACTCTCAGCATTTTCACTAATGTATTCTGATACAATTTAATTTATCAGTGAAGTCCAAATTTATATGTTTTAAATATCGTTATTGAGTTTATGCAGTCTCACGAGAGTAAAAAAATGTGGACCGTTCAAAAGACACAGAGTTTATAGGAAAAAGTTAATTTTTACATATTAGAGGTTATTTAATGGATTAGTTAAAATTTAGATTATTTTTGCATATTTTGGAATATTTTGTGAATTATGAGAACAAATACTTCTTTATATTTTCATTTTTAACATTTTTATTGTTAATTTTAACGGTACCTGAAAATATATTTTAATAACCAGTGATACTAATACTATTTTACTGTGCCGTTATATATTAGTTTATCTAACCTATACTGATGACAACAAAGTATTTTTTTTATAAAAAGTTCAAATATATTTAAGTTGAGTGATTGAGTGTTTTTAAAATAAAAAAATCCATTAATTTTAAACACGCCTATTAAAACAATGGATATAACCGTCAACACAAAAGACACTATCTTAATTGTTACTATAGACGACTATAGTACAATAATTATTCCTTTATTCCTTTATGCAAGTGTATACACCTGACTTTTATATATAAAAAAAAAAGCGGTGATTGGATGTCGCTCTGCTGTACAGTAGGTTACAAGTGGGTCATTGTTTAATGGATTGTGTTAAACTTGAATTAAATGATATAATATCATTGTATAAGAAAAACGATTCTGAGCGGAGACGGTTTGTCAGTCTGGATATTTTTTATTATTATTAGTTATTATATCATGTAAGTCGAATTAATTATAATACTTTTTTTTTTATTCGTTTTTATGGTAACAAACAAAGCGATTGAATTTAAAATCCAATTTTTAGTGGTTTTTCGTAATTTTTCGGTGGTTTTTCCCGTGGCATTAAATAACTATTGATAAGATCGACAAATGACCTCTTTAAAGTACCATCTTGATCCAATTTTCTAAAAGATAAGGTACTATATGTTGAAATCAAAGAACTCCTTCTGGTAGAAATTTAGTATATAGGATATAAAAAAAAAATAAAATAAAAATAAACACCATTGTAAAACCACTAGCTTCCTCACTCCGCTCAGAATCTAAAATTGGATATTTATGTATAAATTATAATATGCATAATATAGTAAGGTTATTGATTATTTTTAAACATTTTCTAATTTTAAATTTTTTAGAGAATATTAAATTTTTTACATTTTAGGTGATCTAAGAGAATAATATAAACCAGGACTTTAACTATCAGTAATAATTATATTTAATAAATATTTTGGGAAAAAAAAATCATAAATTATTTTCTCTTGACTCCATAAAACTATAAATTACTGTGAATATTTATAAAATAATTTTTTTTTTTTATTATTCAATATTAAAAAAAGGCTTTGACATAAACTCTTTCTTAAAATTTTAGAAAAAAATAAAGTAATTTTAGGTTATTTCAATTATAGTGGTTTGGAATAAAATTAAAATACAATAATTTTAATCTTGAAAAATAAGTTATATTATAATTATTATAATGTAATATTTAATTTTAAAAACAATTATTGTTAACTTTATTAACTCAAATATTACGCGACTCACTTGGAAATGGTTAATTAAATAGAAAATTTAAAATGTTTAACATAAATAAATGTAGGTATTATTTTTAAATACCATTGTACTAAAATGTCTTTCATTTTCTTTTTAGATATATTTTTAATTTATCTCAATTTCATTTTTTCACACAATAAAATAAATATTTCTACATTAATTGTGTGTACATTAGTTCTATGAATTAATAAGTATTATCACTTTAACATTTTTTTATGTTAATTTTGACTAATTACATGCTATTAGGAATTTTTCTTAACAAATTCATTCTAAAATATTAAAAACTTTATTCACGAACCCGTATTATTTATTGTACCAGCAACTTCATACTTGTATCCCTTGAGTACGTCTTCTGGTACATCTGAAAATGATATGGAAAAATTTAATCTTACTGAATGTCAAACAATTGTAATATACAGAATATATTATCTAGCTTAATTAACATAAACTTTTCAGAAAAAAAAAACAGAATACTAAAAAATGTTTTGCCCAATTACTTTTGTTGTTTGAAGTCATCTTTATGTCATAAATTTGAATTTATTTTAAGTTACCTATATAATATATATTTAAAAAGCGTTAGTAAATTATTTTAAAATAAAAATATTATTTATATAATTATATAACACCAATGAAAGCAAATAGATTTTAGACATCCGATAAATAATACACATAACACAACAGATAAATATAATAATACAATTGTAATTTATATTTTTATGAGTGGTTAAGTTATATACACTTGTGGTAGTGTACTATGAACTCAAATATTGCTACCTATTTAATAATTAATTTACAATAATAAATACATAAATTTTATGTAATATATTATATTGTATAATTCAAATAATATAATAAGCAGAACATAAAGACTAGTGATTTAATGGGGTTTCGAAATTAAAATATTTTATTATTTTTCGCACTTACCTAAGCCGAAGCATTTTGGACTCATAGCTATATCATCAATCGCCACGTCTCCTTTTACCGACAGTAGTTTCCGAGCCTCAAACTGTAAATAATAGCTGAAAAGTTCAAAGTAGTTACTTAGTTTGTGTGATCATAATTTGATATTTTTTTTAAATGTGTACCCTACAGTGTTTGGATAAATATTTATATATCAATTTTTCCATAACTATTTCATTGAGGAATATAGTTAGGTATTTACGATTTATTAGTTTTTATAATTTTTTAAGATTGAAAATAGTTTACATCCAAACACAAACATTGCTTATAAAAAAATACAGTTTGTTTAAACTCAGATTTCATGATTTAAGACATTGAATTATCTATATATTTATATAAGGGTTGACAGGACTATTTAACAAATTGTCATTAGAAACGCTGATATATTTATCAAATAGTCCCTTTACACCTTGTATGGATACAGTACAGACAACTGTAAAGCAGCTGACAACATTGTGATCAACCCACAACCTACTATGTTCTAACTTTTATCTAAACAAAATTCAATTTTTTTTTTGGTTTAATTATATAAATAACAATAAGCATATCTTATCTAAAAAAATAAAACATAATTGATAAATATAAGTGATTTCATAGTAAGTTATTAGTTTAAGACAATATCTGTATTTTTGGATAAGTGTTCCATAATGAGGAATTTATGAATAAGTTAAAAACATGTTTACATACATATACATTGTAAAACTAACTGAGAACTATTTTCAGCTTGATAATCATTTTTTTGTTTTGTATACTTGTACATATTTATTTATGTAATTTTTTTTATAAAATATTTTTTGTTTTTGAACAACCTATTAGCCTATTCATGCCCATTGTGTTGAAAGTTATAATAAATTAAACGATAATACTTAATATTACAATGTACCTAAATTTTACTTTTAAATTGTAAATGTAATACATAAATTTACGTTTATAATATAATAGCCGTTCGAGTTATTGTTATTTTTGTATAAATTATAAGAGATACAACATAATATGTACTCTGTAACAGAAGTTTAAATAAAAAAGTATCTCATACATTATTCACAAATATTTTTCCAATCCATAATACACATATGGCTTTAATTGAATTTTCATAAAAAATAGATTATACTGTTCCTTTATAGACATTTAAGATAATTAAATTTACATTTTGCGATGTAACTATATGTTCATTTTATGAATTGAGATTATTTGATATATTATTAACTCAAGAAATAGAGTCAACACAAGACTATGTACTTTATAACGTATTATGTATTTAGTGATGTATTTAGTTATAAATAGGTAGGTAGGTACTTAATGTTAAATAATAATTAAAAAAAAAAAAAAAAAAAAAAAATGTTTTTTTATTAAAAATTTTATAAGACTGAGTCATCCTCTACGAAACCTAAAGCATTTATTTTACCATCTTTTTTCTACGGGTATCAAGTATCATATTGTAATCAAGATTGTATATTGTTATTCAGAATTTCTAGTGTAGGTACCCCAACATTATAAATACTGTTCTTACACGGAAAAGCACTCTTTTTTAAGTTAAAATAATTATATTAAAATATTTTTTTTTATAGCTATGGCATACATATTTCATTATACCATAATATCACTAATCACCTATGGAAAATGTGTTAATGGGTTATTAGTACTTATTACCTATTATCATCATAATCATCGATAACTGTGGTCATGTTGGTAATAAAAATTTGTCCCGAGTCATTTGACCGTCACCTTTTAAAAACTGATTTGAATTTAGGTAATACAAAACATATTATTTATTACAGACAAATTAGTTTGATAAATAGGTTTATTATTAGAAATCTCATAAATTAATTTTTGTATTGTTTATTAAACTTAAGATACATGATATAATATTCGAAATCTGCATCACTTGTGAGTCGTATTTGTTCTCTATTTCAAGTATTTTTGCTGCAAATCTACATTTTATAAATATTAATATTTTCCTGATGTCATTCGACGTTTTGAAATCAAATATTGAAAAAAGTTGATAACCGTATTTACATTGCTTAGTCAAATATTCGAAGTTTCAATATTCGAGTTTGAAAGTGTAGCAGGAACTAACATACTTGGTTATCATAAAAAAAAAAAACATTTAAAACATATTCCATAGCTAATTCAAATAAAAACATTTTTGAAAAGAAAATCTAAAATAAATGTTATGTATGAAAATTATAAATTATAAGTTGTGTTCTACAACATAAATACATGACACTGAAAGTATTCGAATATTTTAACTCTAATACTTAATAACACGTCTGTCAATAACTACTAGTCTAATAATTATTATTCAATAATAATATAATATTATTCATTCGTTGCTCAACTACAGCTTTTCGTCTATTATTCTTAAGGCAAGTTCAGTACTCTGTGTGCATATACGTAAATATCGTATACAATGGCCATGCCATACATGGCGGTAAAATATTTATCGGACATCTTCAAAGGGTTGGTAGTCAAGTAAACTTATACTCCTTTTGTGCACGCAGTCCCCATTGTATTCTCTTATTATCATAATATTTTATAAATCCACGCACGTACAGACAAAACGTATTGTAAGTTTGTATAATGCAATATACGTTTCGGCTTTTGGTGAACGTATAAGCGTTGGTCACCGCTGATGAATAAGTAGGTACTTATTATACCTAAAAGCAAGAACTATAAAAAATGCTGAACTTATATGATATTAATATAATATTATCGTATATATCCTACACGGTATGTGGTATACAGTCACATAGGAAATACTCTAGGAATGGTGCCTTTGCACCAGCATCTATAGTGTACTCATTATGTGCATTAACAGCTGACAGTTGTACCATCAATGGTACCTATATAAAACAATAGGACGTATTCGAATGGGTGGGGTCCATATTCCACCGAAAAAAAGGCAACGTTTTTTCAACATAAAAAGGTTAGATTTAATTTCATCCAAATATTCTTTTGGACAAAAATATGACTATTTTCGATTTTCCTCTCAATATTAAAATTTTTAGCCAGCACCAAAGACGTAGTGTTGTGTACCGTATTATAAAGGAAAAGTAGCAGTTGATAACATCGTAAGCCTAATTTATTAAGATAAGTATATATAATATTTTATTTATAGTTGTTTATAATCCAAATGGAAATTCAATTTTTTTCGGTTAGTATAAAAAAAAAATTAAATTGTTAACAATATCTTGACTGTTTTTTTTTTATTATTATTATTATTATGACTTAAAAATATGTTTACTATTATATTCTTAATTTCTTATTGGGCAAAAATGGAAAGTGGAGAAAAACTGGCAAGATTTATTTAATTAAAATTTTTTTTTAAAAATAGACAGTGAAGGAAAATTGTATCAATACTATCTTATTATTAGAAGAAACAGGTTACGGCTATTCGAATATGTGAATAAGACAAGGTTATTATTGTAGTGCTTGTTTTGTACCAAAAACGGATCAATAACGGTTGCATAGGGTGATAAAGAATTCAAAGGTATTGAATATCTGCTGCTACTGGACATGCAAACACATTTGAGAAGTTGAAAAGATATTTTCTCGATTTTATTAACAGTCCCAAAACAATTTACGACTATTTTTTGTATGTTTTTTTGTCTATTTTTGTATGTTCTATACAAAATTGTTTACTGAATGACAAAAAAAATAGATTGTCAGTCGTTAAAGGAAAACTCTTCAAATTTAAATTCCATACACCAACTCAATAGGTAGTTGGACGTACCAATGATTGGAAGTATAAAAAAAAATAGAATTTTGAACTGGAGTGGCACAGTGGTCACACAGTCGGTTCGATTCATAGGAAAGTGCAAAAAATGTGTGTGGTTCTACCTGATCACCATTTTCTCGTGATATCATCTGATTACATCATCCGGTTTCCAATTAGGTCCCACTCCACTGGGAGTGAAGACCGCACATGTTTCCTCTTGTAGAAGGGGCGTAGTAGCCTGCATATAGTGATATATTATACATAGATAAATTTATAACGTGATCTCTCAAGTGCCCACTTGTGATAATCATTGACAAAGGACTTGAAGTCGTTTTAATGAAAAAATAAAAAAAATATTAAAAAAAAATTCGTTGTAGTTGTTAGGAATTCAATAACCTAATTAAAAATAAAAAACGATTACGTATGAATCACTAGGATAATGGTCAGGAGTATTTTTATAGTGTTTTTTTGACATTCAATCCACAATGGTGGACACAGAGAATTTCATTGAGAAAATGTTCAACATTATTTAGTTACTAATAAAAATAAACCAATATCCCAAAACATAAAATTATAATGTTTGATTTTGGAACATCTCAAATTTTCACCTATATTAGCAGACTTTACATTTTATAGAATATTCAGAGCTCCATGTTAATCCTTATGGTGATTAGATGCTAATATTAGCAAATGCCGTTTTCGTCCTAATCCAAGTGGGTAGGATAATGAGGGGTACTGGAAACAACAGTAGGAATGGTTTTATACAGTGTATACTGTGAAAAAAATAATAATTTATATAGTTATCTACACAAAACTTTCTTCCTAACTACATCAAAACTCATCTTATCTCAATTTATACATTTGTAGATAAAAATACTTTAGTACCTATCATACTTCATATTAAATTTTCAGTATAACCAATATATTTCAGAATATGGATTATTGATATGTGGGTGTAGCTTTATAACTTTATGAAAGTAATATACGCCCCATAGAAAATACCACCTTTGACATTTGTACTATTTAACAGTTAAAATATAGTAGTTGCATAAGTTAAAATAGTTGCATAATATAATATTATAATAATATCTAATAGGTACGAACAAGCCAATATACTAAACATGTTAAAGGTAAAAAGAAATCGAGGATGGAGTATAATATTATAAAACTTTCAGAGATCTATATTTTTCATACTGTTATAAATTATACATATTTTATACTTTAGCCGGTAATATAATATTCCTTCTGAATAAATAATAAATTCCAACAGTGTCATTTTCTGTCTATATTATTATTATTATATGAATACGTTGTGTAGTACTGTAATACAGTTATATAATGTAATATTTAACATAATAATATAATAATACAAAATAGTAAAATGTATTACCTACAACACACCATCATATTAAACTGGTAGACGATGGTATTAACCTGGCAAATATTATAAGTATTTACAATGCTGTAGTAATAGCTGATATTCATGAGCAAAACAAATACATTTTTAAATAGTTTTTTTTATTTTTTTTTATCAAACTCAAGCTTTAATAGATCTTATTTTTTTAATATAATGGTACATTAAACATTGCCATTGTACTTTCAAAGCCTGTTTGATGACATGAACAAACAATCTGCAAAATAAAAGAATTCCCAATACCAATTTAACTTATTGCTCGAATGTTAAACAGTAAGTTCATTTGTTTTACAGATTATTGTTTAGCCTGAAGATATACAATAATAGTAATCAATATAGGCAAATAGAGCTTGTAGTAATATCAACCAAAACACACAATATAAAACAAGTTTTTTTAAAAAAAATATATAAGCTTAAATGTTATTCTATAAATAATTTTTAAACATTTCATAATCCGTCCACAATATTAATAAAATCCATCAAAATGTAGTTATCATTGGAAATAACATTCGACATATAATATACCTTTAACAATATGTAATATTATTAATATAATTTGCAACATTTTTCGAACGAATAGTTTATTATTTTTTATATTGCACCTACATTTATAATTTAATATGATATTTATATATATTCTTATAAAAAATAAGATGATTAAAAAATGTCTTTTTTCAATTTTATGAAATTAAATTTTGTAGCTAATTGGTTGGATCTTCGATATTATAAACTTATAGATATTTTTTCATGAAGAGCTATGACGTCTTCGAAATATTATTGTTTGACGGGTACAGTACTCATCACAGATTAATTTGAAAACATTTATTTACCTCAATAATATTATAATAATGAGAAGAACAAATTTAAAAACAATTTGGTATTATGGATTCAAAATAATTGCTAAGTTAAAACTGTAAAGACAGGGTGTTTGACTGGCATTTTTGACAATTATGCTCATAATCAAATATTTTTCTGTTTGCAAAGTAATTATTTATTATATTAATCAAGGTGATATTGTGGATATTTTGAAATATAAGCTAATTTTACATTATGAACATTGCTGAAACATTACCAGAGAAACTGACTAACGGCAGTAATGTACCCAAATTGCCTATATAGAACGCCATGTTATAGTATTTTTATTTTTTATATCTAATTGGTTAATAATATATTAATATTGCTCATAGTAAGTCACCTAAAACATTGTTGTATGGTGAGAAAAGAATACTCGCTATGCTAATAAGATATCTGTTTCATTGCAGGCACCAAAGATATTGAAATTTCTTATAATTTGGTCGGTGCGTAGCAAATTATAGGTATTATATTGTTGTTGGCTCAACGAATAGTATTTTACTATTATTTTTTCTAGTTTTTGTCGAAATTGTATAATTTTAGATTCTGGGCGGAGCGAGGAAGCTAGTGGTCTTACAATGGTGTTTATTTTTTTTTTTATCCTGTATACAAAATATCTACCAGAAGGAGTGCTTTGATTTAAACATATAGTACCTTATCTTTTAGCAAATTGGACCAATATGGTACTTTAAAGAGGTAATTTTTCGATTTTCTCAATAGTTATATAATGTATATATAATGTATTATATAATTATACCAATATCCATACTGACAAACCGTCTCCGCTCAGAATCATTTTTCTTATACAAGGATTTTATATCATTGAATTCAAGTTCAATAAAATTCCTTGTACATGGACCCACTTGTAACCTACTGTACAGCAGAGCGATATCCACTTACCCAATTGTATTTAAATGTTTTTCCGTTCTACATAATCAATCCTTATACTCATAAGTCTTACAAAACAAGTAGGTACATCAGTACATTGGGTTGTATAGCGTTAATAATTTTTTCCTGATCAATGTTAATGAGTGGTATGAATAATGGCAGTAAAAGTATAATATTAAAGTATATTATCTATTCCTTTGAAATGTGTAGCATTTAGTGACATCTTAGGAAAATACACAAATTAAGATTGATTTTCAAAATATAGTATTTTAAGCTTTTCTATACGATATGAAATTCATTCATTCACCCATATCTTCAGAGCTTCTTTTTATTCTTATTTAACTTTAGTATACCTATTACCTACATCATATCAAAATAAACAACCTAAATAACAACCAACTTATATTGTCAAGTATAAAATCGGAAACGGAAACATAACAATGACAACTGTCTCTGTTCGCAAGCACAATGTTTGGATTTTGAGGGGATGTTACTATATATTTTACAAATTTAATGTATGTTATCGTTTAATGCTTTATAACGAAAATAAACAAATATTATTATTATTAAGGGGGATGGAGTGGCCGAGCACATTAAGGCGTCGGTTGCGGCACACACCGGCGTCGGTTCGAATCCGGCAGCGGGCAGCATTTTTATTTGGGCAAGTCACGGTGTCCGGAGAGAAGTGTCCACCCGGGCATGACAGATACCTACAGGTTCCCACTAAAAAATCTGCCAAACCAAAAACACACGAGTTTACTAACCTACAATTCCTTCCACACAAACAAAAATAAACAGCTAATGGCCATAGTTGCCGGGCTCCGTGATCAATAAAAAAAAAAAATAATAATAATATTATTATTAAATATTAATATAAGGTAACTATAAAATAATATCAGCATCAAATATATTATATTATGGTAAAAACGTTTATGATTTTCAAAAAATTTTATTTTTTTATCTTGTGAACGAGAGTAGGTACAATGTATGATAATATGTACATCATTATAATAATTTCTATTGTGAATTTATAATTATTATTATGTAAGTACTATGCTTGTGTTGACAATTAATTTTACCTACCTACTATATAAAATGAGCCTAAAATATACTTATTTACCGACGTTTTTTAGTCTTAAAATATATTAATATTTGTTTTTAAGTATATTATGCAGTTGTTGTGGTGAAGGCTAACCTGTTAGCCAAAAGTATTTTTTGTTGTTTTTAACATACAATGTTAAAACAATTACAATTTTAAAAAGATGTTTTGCAATACAGGAATAACAATACTTGTTCAAATACGGGTATAAACGAATATAACGAGATGGGTTTTAGATGGATTGTGTTTTATCAGCAAACAACAATAGTGATCTGTCATAGTGTAAAATAACTTACCTGGTTGTGATGTTTACTAAATAAACAACAGTTCGAAGCCATGTATTCCCATAAGTCCCAAAACTCCACCATAATCTTCTCACACGATCCACCTCACCATGGGCCTCGACCAAATACAGTCCCAAAGTACCGCTATGTGAACCATATTTGTGGTAAAAAAATGATATCTGAAAAAAAAATACAAATATAATAATTGTCATGACGTTATGTTATTATTTTAGTCCTTAAAATTATAATAGTAAAAATGTATTTACCTACAACGCTATTGTATTTTTAATATTGCGTACCTATTACATTTTGTTTTTTTTGCATAATTTAGATGTAGTTATTAATAATTACACGTTGTTGATTCTCATTTATTTTGATTATTCTACTGTAATACCATATCCATGTACTTATGTTTCAAATAATATATCTTACCAAAACAATGAATGTAAGATAGTTTGAAATAAAAATAAAATTTATAAATATTAAAATGTCAATATCATAACAACAAAAATGTATCTATTAAATAATTAGAAGTTATTTTATCTTTTTACAATATTTTTTACGTGAGTAATTTAATATTGTTAATTTAATTAAAACATGAAAAAAACCGTTGATTATCTACGATATATTTGTCTTACCAAATTATATTTATGATAAAATATTAAATAAATTCTCAATAAATGTATACTTAAAGAGTCTTTTATAAACTATTGTAAGAATTAAATACTTTTTAAATTCATGAGCAGAATTTATAAAGTATTTTTTTTTATACCAAAATAATGTGATTGAATCTAAAATACTATATAAAAATTCAACTCAAACAATATTGAATAACATTATTTATAACTAAAATAATATGTCTAGACTGAATCGTGACTACATAACATAATAACAACTCATACAGATTTTATCGACTACAGAAAAGACGCAAAAAGTCAGCAGTTTGAAGTGTTTGAATGTTTTTTTGAACTAATTTTTATGTAGACATTAAACAATATTAAATACAATATCCTAAGAAGTTCATATTACTGTAGGGCGAATACATATATATTTTATACAGGTAATATAAATATGATATTATTAATAATGGAACAAACAATTTTGGAACATATTAGAGTGTTGTACTAGTTTTAATATCCAAGGTTTTCAAAAAATTGGAAACACTTTAATTACTGTTTGCATATTTTTATTCTTACAATAACAGATAACTTTGCTGCACATTTATTAAGTATAATATTTAATCACCTCATTAATTATAATCATAGTATCGTTTATCAGTCCTAATTAGTGCAATGGCTGTTTATAAACTATTTAAACACTCTGTATAATTTGCTAGAAGGCAACCTATTTGGTGTCACAATTATGGTGATTGGTGTAAAAACAAATAAAATAACTCCATAGTTTTGTGTGAATAAGAAATGTACCTATAATTGTATTTTAAATATATATTATAATACGTTAAGGAGATACGTGTCCAAGTGTGACCGTCGGATGTCACGTAGAAGTATTGAATTTTCTATCGTTTGCAGCAATCCGTCGAACCCTTCTGAGATAAAAACCACCACATCGATACCCCATCGACACCTAAATGCTATCCAACCTGTAGACACGTGGTTCAGTCAGAATCTCTAATCATACAACACAGGCACGGAAAATAAACGAAAAGTCGGTGCTTGAGAAACGACTTCCATTCAAAGGGTTTCTTCTGACAATTCGCTTTATCAGTACGCTGTCTCGTTTCCCACCTCATACCGCACATCTTCTTGCGTTTCCCGCAATACGAGCAGAGCTTGCATTGCTTACTGTTGTCGAGTTTTTGGCAGTTTTGTTGTATTTTCTTGAGGTCTTCGAGTTTCTTAAGGTTTCTGATTTTCTCGTTGGATGTACTACCGATTTTCCGTTTATCGAGTTTATCACGGCTTTCCGATCTCCCGGTGGCCACCGACACGCCCCCCTTACCACATTGCTGCCTTCTCGTTCTTTTTATTCCGTCACAAACGCTGTAGTATTCCATGCGAAGGCAGTCATACTTTTTCAGCAGTACGGTAGAAGAGTCACTTGGCCCGCCCACCTGATCCAGATCCTTGATCAACTTCTGCGCCTTTCTGCATAGCTGCGCTATTGCGCCCGCGTGTTCGCTGTTCGGAACATCGACCGATATTTTTTCCAGCTTATCCATAAGCCGCTGAGCATACTTGGCGATCAGAGTTTTCATCAAAATATCGTTGGCGCACGATGAACGGGCCGTCCGCAACCCATTGATCTTATCGTGGTTTTCAAAGTCCGAAGCCTCGTCGTCTTCTCCTTCGCAACAAACTTTGGCCAATGGTTGTGTCTGCCCTTTTTTCATCATTTCTTTTTCAATTCTGGTCAGCTTCTGTATGTTTTTATTGTCCGAGTACATAGTGTAGTAGGTGTGTTGTTGTTCAAATGTGTTTTGCTGATAAGCACGAGCATGGAGCAAATTTTGAGATATAAAATATATCGTTTCACATTTTGTTATTTTTGGACCACCACCCGTTGGCATGGATACGCTTGGTTATCAGCCAGCGTGAATATGGACATGCGTAAAGAATTTTTAAAAATCGCAACGTATATATTTCGGTAAAGAATAATTTTTGTTTCTAATGTTCCTCTGATATGCTAGCTGGATCAAGATATATCAACCAGATACTCTTGCTATCAGATAAATGGTGTGCAATTCTTTCAAATACTAATATATTATTTAAAGTTATAATGATTAAAAGGTTTCATAAAAAAGAAAGATATATTTACGTACTTGATGATAGAAGTATTTAATTTGGTACACATAATATTATTTTTGATAAACATTTTTATGGATTGATAATGTAACGTAATTAGAATTTCAATAGTTTAGATGCTCCAGTAATTTGAATATAACTATTGAATGTAACTATATGAGTATAGTGCAAATTATGTATAGAATTACGGGAAGATAATTTTGAGAGAAATTTGTACATTTTTATTGATATACATGAATGTGAAATATTCTCACATAAATTAAATACCTTTAAGTGAAATCACCTATTAATAGTATTTTGATTTATCATGGATAATTTTATGGAAAAATGTAACCAAAAATTTTTTTTTAACTTAATACAGTAAAAATTTTAGGTAAGTATATATTATTAATCTTGTATTTTAAAAAATGCATGTTCATATTTTTGATTACAAACATTTAAAGTCAAATATTTTACGAAATGCATTAAAATCACAAGCATATTTTTCAATTTATTTTTGTGTTTATGGTTTAATCATTTATTACAAGATTCTTCATACGTTTTATAATTGGAAATTAATAAAAATATAAATTGTACACACTTGAAACATTCCACGATTTAAATAAATTATGAATGCTATATACTGGATGACCTTTTCAAAATATCTGGACTGATATAAAGTTATTTGTAGGAATTTTAAATATTCAATGTTTTTTCTTAATTTTTTTTATAAAAATGTTTAGTCTTAGTCAACAATATTGAATATATTATAATACAATACGTCACTTAAGTGGTTCTTAAATAAATTTAAAAATATTAAAAATACATACCTACGGACATTTTTTATGCAATATAAATTATTTCCAAATTATAATTAATCAAAAAACACAGGATAGTTAATTACGATGTGACCATATAATGGGATGTGAGATGACGCAATATACATACTAATTCTGTATACACACATTTGCACAAAACCATAAACGTGCTACAGACCTACTCACATGCTCTACTGGCAATGTTTATTTTACACCTCCATACATAAACTTACGAGCGTATATCGTTCTTCCTCGACAATGGGTTAAACGAAAAGAACTCTGCGACGTTGTCCCTTTGTAAAAATCTCAAGACACATCTTCGCATGTACGCATTACGATATATTTTATTCTTTCAAACGTTTACTTGCCACCTTGTGTTTACACTAACAATTAACATAACATTGTTTAGGTTATTCAAATATCCGTGTATGGTCAGACAGTTAACTATTTTGTACCTTTAGCTCAAATTCACTATTGTTATTTTGTAAAAACGAAAATCAACCTCATTATATTGTTTATTATATTAAGCTATCAAATCTTAGTATCTATATTAGTATAGTATTATCATTAATTCGAGTGTCCTATTTAATATTAGTTATAGTATAGATAGTTATAACGTAGGTATAATTACTATTTATGAAATTGTTGTCGATTATCTTTGTTAGATATTTAAGAATAATACAGTAATATCTCATATTACGTGAACTTAATTATTTTAGACACATTCAGCCCTTAATCAGTACTTTAAATAGTATCGTGGTAGAGTTGGGTGTATTCTAGTTTCTAGAGTAGGTATTTGTATATAATTTTTATAATCAAGGTTTCAAGCTCAGCCAAAAATATTAAGTCTGCACCTTAAAGTTATTAGAAACATAAAATCTATACCTTATCAGAAATAATACCTATGACAAAAAATTTACAAATAGATACATAAACGGTGATCGTATTTCCTTATGAGTTCAGTAAGTCAGTAAGTGAGTATGTTAACTGATATTTAAGCCGAATTACTATATTACATCGTAATATATTTAAATACACCTAACAGCTAAATTGAGCATCGACCACTACAACTCACTGATGACATCTCTGAGTACGAATCCGCTTCATGTATTGAACAATTCCCTACTTCAAGCAAAGTGAACGAATTCAATTATTAATATATTCATAAAATGTTTAATTGTACTTCCATTTTAATACACGAATTATAATTCAGCAGTGTTGTAGAAGAATCTTACACGCACCCTTTAGAATAACGAAAACTAAACGATCTTCGATGACACCAAAATGCGTTAACACCCATATACACACCCATCGTTCATCATATCGGATTACGTACCCACACGCACCCTTCTACACTTCACCGTTTACACGTGTAACATGGTAACATGAATCTTCGGACCATCTTTCATCTATAAAAGGACCTAAGTAACTGTTCACATCCTTTCACACATACGGATGAGTCATCGATCTCTGTGCGAGCACAAACCGTGTTTTACTTACCACTTTTTAATGGGCAAGCAATACCAAGCTATTCACTCTAGCATTATAATTATAATATTCTACGATATTTGTTGTACACGCAATTGAGTTACAAATGTTGTTAATCATGTCCGTCAAAATCATGAACATTTCTGAATTATTTCGTACCTAGTTAGAAATGTATAATGTTTTCATATTTTTAATAGCATGGGCACAACTATAATAATATTAGGTTGCTAATAAGTTAAATTTCAGAAACATAAAAAATCTCAAAAATTCAAATTCCAATATAAGTAATGGACATTGCAAGTTAAAAATGTGTGGGTGAAATTCAATATTTCAACATGAATTTATTTATTTTGTCGTTGTTAAAAATAAATAATTCGTGTGGGCTTGAAACTTGAATATAATTTACTGAACACTATGCAATTTTCAAAATATTTAAATTAGTTTTCAGCTACATTTTTAACAAGAGCACATTATGTACATCAATTTACGGTATTCTGGTATTGAGTTTTAATGTAAAAACAAATAGTAAAATTATATGGAACAATATTATTACAATAATTAAAGTTATTGCTACCTGTAAGAAATATAATTATTATTATTTTATTTTCGCAAAAATGAACTGACCATTGTTATTTATATTGAAAAACAAATTACTTAAAATATGCTACCTACATAAAATATGTATACAGAACAAGGTTATTAATAAGTTGTCGTCACTCTGGACTCCCTTTAAGTATACACTCTTGATTTAAAATATTACCACAGTTCTATAGTCACCAGAGCTCGCTTCCTGTCCTATGACGACCTGTGTATTCATACTGTTAAATGCAAAATATCTTAAAACCTAAGAATTAAAATGCTATTTTTTTTTTTAAATTGAAGTTAGTATTTACAAAAACATTGAATCATCATAAGTTTTTTTTTAATCGAGTTGGCATAATAAATTGGAGTCTGTAATTATACATGACATTTGCATTTTAATCATTTGCAATATTTTTTATCGAGTAGACATCAATTATAAAATATGATGTATAATTTATTAATTTATGTTTAATTTATTTAGTTACTTCTTTGGATATTTGCATCCTTCTTAAAATCTTTAAATTAAATTAAAACTATTATGATTCTGCTTCTAATTTTGATAGTAATCTGGTAGAGTGGAGTAATATTTTCTAGTGCTCATAAAAAACTCTAAAAATATTGTTTAAAATATTTTATTATATGATTAGGTATATTATTATTTATTATATATCCACCTTGTTATTTACATTATAAAATTATTCAATAATAGTTATCTTATAAACTTCAAACTAATTTTGAAAAATTATTTAGTTTATTATTGGTGTTTTCTTGTTTTTAGCACCTTGCTCATTTTTTTCTTTTGCAAGTGAATATCATTCTTGTTTTGACATAATGCGTTATGATATATTTGGTTAATATTTGACTGTGTATTGAGCACACCTTTTTACTCCGAACGGGACAAACTTAACACGGAACGCAGGGCGCTATACGTGACAAACCGGTGGGGCAATGAGTACGGGCCGGCGCGTGTTGGGTCCCCATTCACGCGCCGGGAACCCTTGAATAGCCCTGACCGAGAACCCATGGGTCCAGCCAATCCATGGTGAACACGTACGGGAAGAAGACCGGCTCCCCCAGCCTTCCACCCAGGAACTAAATCCGACAAAAAGTCGGTACGGACACAGCATCAGTCACAAAAACCGTACCGCTCCAATAAGGTCGCGTCGCAGCACTATCCCTGTTCCGATGACGGTGCTAGCGGGAAACCCGTCTTGGTAGGAATGATATAAAATCCCATTCCACGGGGGTTGAAAACAGCCCCACCGTAAACCCGCAGCAATGCCCGAACGTTAACAGTGTCTCAGCTACCTATGTGAAGCACGTCCGGCCGGCGCACCCATGACAATGTGTACGGCTTCGTGGAGACTGTGTAGGCTTAGTAGGAGGGGAGGACTTGTCTGGTGGTAATGCCCCATCGTTCGCCGACGCGGGACTTCCGAAACCCACCAATCAGCCTCGAAAATGAGAGTTGCCGGCGGGGGATCATCCGTCTGGCGCCCGAGAGCCCGATGTGAACAAGTCGGAGGGACGAGACCGCGTCACATAGGTGAGAAGCAGCCGACCGCGAAATATGGATAAAGGAGGAAACTCCCCAGTGGTCTGAGCCTTATACTCCCCGTCATCAGGTTAACGAATGTGTATTGAGCAACCGACATTTGTCAAAAATTTTGTTTATACATTTCTTCAATAGCTACAAATTATGTTGGAAAAATAAACAGTGAAAAATATATATTAAGTTTTTAAAATGAAATCCAACATTACAAACATGATCTTTTACTATGAATTTAGATATTTTACAGTATAATCTAGTACAGAACTTCTCAAATTTATTTGTCATGAGGCTCAATAAATTTATTGTAAAACTGTCAAGGCCCCCTTAATCAAAATTACTAATTGTT